CATAGTTCTTGGTTTTAAAATAAGGCAGAACACTTAAAAGAAACAAACAAAACAAGAGGAAGAGAAGAAATGGAAGAGGAAGGAGACAAGTTGGAAAAAGCTAATCGACAGCAAAAAAAAATTGTGCTTGATGATTGAGAGAGGATGTGAGTAAAAACAGGAAAAAAACTCATAAAAACTAGAATTAGCAAATCTCCTATTTCTAGTCAATTTTCTCCATCCAAATCTCATCTGTAAATCGTATATATGTACTTGGATATTTAGTTTGACAACGCGATTCGCGGGTTTTATACAAAATTTTCTTTGATGGTTTTGTTTATCAATAGTGGTATGTTTTGTCATATAAGTACATTTTATACTTTATACTTTGTTGTAGATCTTGAATGAATTCAGTAAGATCGAGCCACATTTTGACAGGCTGAAGATGTTTTATCTGTAAATGATGAAAAATGTTGAGGTTATTAAGGGAATAAGTAGAGTAGAGATGGCTAATAAAATCCAGTAGCCTTTCTTAAGAGACTGAAGATTGTAAGCATGTAGAGCATCAAGCATTTCATTAACCATCTCTTACCAAATGGATTCGAGGAATCATATAAGACAATCCGAAACAGAGAGACAGATGATATGGCAAGACTTGGGAAAACTTCAACGAAGATAGATTCTTATGAACAAGAAAAGGATCTAGCAACAGGAAAGGAAGAAAAATCATCGCGGGAAGAGAGACATCGCCGGTGATTCTCATATTATATAAGATCATTACTTTTGCGTGTATAATCCATACATAACCCCCAATAAACAAATCTACCAAGAGAATCCAGCAAAACCATTGACAATGTCTTTAGAAGCTTATGGAGATTTAGTTAGATGATTGCTCGTCTTTTTCTTCTACGTACCTCTGCACCTTTTTGTTTGCTCTTCTGTGCTCGGAAGGAGAAGAAAAGATCTGTATCTGTGTCAACCTAAAGATCTCTTTCTGTTTAAGTCGATTCCAGATTATGGAAGAAGGAAAGAACATAGATGATAAGGGAAGAAACATTTGATCAAAGTTGCATACTTACTTCCCATGAAACTTTGCAGCAGCGACGAAACAGACTAGCTTAGTCAGGTCATGTCTGTCAGCAAACACAAACTTCTTGACAGTCATTGTATCTTCTCCTCCTGTAACAACACAAGCGCAGACATGGAAGAGAACAGTTATGTCTGCAATCTCAATGTGGTTTATTACAGCTACGGTTACTGCTACCATTACCAAGAAGCTCTTGTTCTACCAAACACCTTTCTTAGTTCTCATTGCACACCAAGCAGAAAAATCTTCACCTAAACAGAAGAGATGCAAAGCAAGAATCTGGAAAGGAATATTCAAAGAATGAATGCACCAAACAAAGATGAATAATGATAATCTGGAGGAGGTTATTTTTAAAGACAAACACTAGGATAGAGAAAAAAAACCATTCCAAAGCGACAAATATAAATAAGCACGCAAACTTAAAAACTACAACTTCATAGGAAATACTAGCAGCATCCAGAGTTGCCTGAAAACAACTTATTGAGAAACTAACAAAAGAGATAATCCAGCATACGTCGACCTCCTGGTCAAACCGCCTCAGAAGTGGGATCATCATGGCGGAAAGAGGACGTTTCAAGGTCAGGGATAAAACCACATTGTAGTCTTCTTTGATCCTCAATCACTGTTGTTGAGCTTGCCTACCACTTCCATAACCTCCACCATAACCAGCTTGCCCGTTGTTCCCTTGGTGATTACCATAACCTCCAGAGCCATCTGAAGCATCAGCATAGCCACCGCCATGGCTGTTAGGGATACTGCCAGACCGCCCACCAACTGCACCATAGCCTGATGGAGTCCCATAAGAGGAATCATTTCCACCATAGCCATAACCCTGACTACCATAACCTGCAGATGCACCACCTTGACCCATCACTGCTGAACCGGGAGCAGAACCAGCCCATGGAGCAGCATTTCCATATCCCACATTACCATAACCCGATGGTGCTTGAGCGCCCCATGAACTTCTTGGACCACTTCCAAACCCAGCTCCAGGCACACCAGGATTCCCATAAGGCGCACCAGCTGGATTTCCATACCCTCCAAAACCACTATAACCTACACCGTTGCTGCCATAACCATAACCAGTACCATACCCAGAAGCACCATAAGGGGGATACCCACTTCCGGTGTTTTGAGGCTGCATGTATCTATTGGAATCCACACGGCCCTCGTAGCCACTTCCACCAGAACCACCAAAGCCCTGAAAAACTCCAGAGCCACCACTGCCGCGACCACCACCGCTAGCCACTCCAGGATTAGCATCTTTAGGAAGAGCCCGTTTAACTTCTACTTGTTTACCATTCAAATCGTGGAAAGTCTTGTGCAAAACAAGGTCAACCGAATCTTCAGAGTCAAAAGAAACAAACCCAAATCCTCTAGGGCGTTGTGTGGTCTGATCAATCATAATCACTGCATCGCTCACAGGACCGTAAGTTTCAAAATAGGCTCGAAATTCGTCTGATGTTAATGCGGGAGGCAAACCTCCCACGAATATCTTCTTGGTCCGAACGTTAGCTCCGCTATCAAAATTCCTAGAAGCATTAAAATTCCCTGATCTACCAGAAGGATTCTGCTCTTCTCTAGACATTGCTCTCTTCACATCAACCTAAACATATTGCAGAAATCAAAAACCATCAAACATGACCATACATAACTGGAGAGAGTGGCAAATTACTGGCAAACAATACTCGAGTCAAAGAAAATTAGAAACCTTTATAGAGAAACAAGAGCAATTACGAGTGAATTTAAAGAAAATTTTCTTACATCTCTATTATCGATATGGTGCTTGTCCTGAAGAACCCTATCAATAACAGCAGGATCGGAGAATGCGACGAATCCAAATCCCCGAGGACGACCTGTAGCTTTCTCTCGCATGACAGTAACCTGTAAAACCTCACCGAAATTGCTGAAGTATTCTCTCAGGAGATTTTCGTCGGTATCCCATGAAATCCCACCGATAAAAAGCTTTCCTTGATCTGATTCCATTCCTTCTCTCCACCCTTCTCGTTAATACCCAAAAAACCCTAGATTCAACACCGACAAATCTCCCCGGTGAAGAAGAAGAAGAAAGGAGCTGTGAAAATTTCAGTGTCCCGAGAAAATTAGGGTTTCGGGTTTGTGAAATTGGGTGAGAGAGAG